GGCAAGTGGAGTCACCTCCCACCTGTGTTTGTCGCAAGGATCACACTGGCTGCGGTGAGGCTTTCCATCATGGCTGCTTCTTCCCTCTCCTTCAGCTCTTTCCTTAACAGCTTAATTTCATTGCGGAAGTTACCTTTATCCTTCTTATCCTGGGTCTTTTTGTTTTTCACCTATGAGGAGAAAAAAGAAAATTATAACTATTCTGACACAGCTTTGTAATTCTTTTATACTCATAGAGTGCTTCTGCTTCATAGCAGTTGGTCTGGTTCAATAAACTGAAAAAGCACTAAAACTTAAAAACAGCTTTTTTTTTTGTACCAGGGATCGAACTCAGGACTTTACACTTGTGAGACAGGCGCGGTGCCATTGAGCTAAATCCTTAGCCCATCAAAAATCTTTTTTGAAGGAGCTACAAGGACACGTGTAAAGCACCTCACAGTCATGTCACCTGCACAGGGACAGCCAGAAAGGGAGTGTCCAGTCCTGGGCACAGCTGGTATTTGAACTGAATAAGAGGCTGAAAGGGACCTGCCTGCCCCGCAGAGCCTCCCATACCCCTGGGAAGGACTGGTGCCCACCCATCCCAGAATCTGAGTTGTGAGAGCTCACACACTGTGAAATGGCTCAGCTCCACACATCTCTAGAAATCAAATTTGTTTTAATCCATAAAATTGGAGTTTACCTGAACTCCAATTTACTTTTGTTTTCCTTTTTAATTGACTTTATTGGTACATTCCAGGTATACAGTACAGTTACATTCATTACTGGGATCTTGTACCTTTACATGCCAGGTCTTGGTTCTCATTTTTTCCCTTTGTCCGTGCCCTCCCTTCACCCCCTCCTCCCCTCCCCATTTACAAACACTTTATTTCCATTTTCTCATATTTTTTTTCTTTTTCCAATTTACTTTTATACCCCAAGAAGACACGTAGCCTTTTCTTTATTTTTGATTTCTGCTCTGGAGGATGGAGTCTCCGCAGGAGTGAGGAGAGGTATTTTATTCTGTCTAATTTACAAAAGAATATGAGGAGCTCTGATTTCAACAGGAAGAAGGAAATGAAATCGTCCATAGTCGTGATGGTACAGACAGTATCACTGCACATTCCTGCATGTGTTTATCTTGGTGCCACCTCCTGCCCCCAGCTGGGCACCCAGAGCTGTCTGTCTATGCCAGGGAAGCCTTTGTGTTACAGGCTGAGGGAAGGGGGGGTCTCCCAGCACCCTCCCTGATGCCATCACTCCGAGGCTAGGACACATAGGCAAGAGACTGCTATAATTAAGGAAATGAGGGCAAATGTGTCATCTACAGGACCCGAGGGCTCGAAAGCACTGGATGACACAGGAGACACCACCTCACCTAGAACCAGCTGCTTACGCCTGGTTCGGCAAGCTCCTGGCATCTCCTTCCACAAGGAGAGGGTGAAGTAGGATCAAAATGATTTGGGAAGAGCTTATGTTTTGAATCTCTGTCTCCAGACTGCTTTTCCCCTCACCAACTGTCAAGCACTTTAAAGCAGATGAGTCTCTACTAAATGCTGAGTACAGTTCTCTAGGAAAAATGAGCCGCCCCTGCCAAAGGACAGTTCATTTAGAGGAATGCAGATACCATTCATGCATTAGACTGCAGCTCAGAAAATACAAGACTTGGGGACAATGGCTCTGCGATACATACAAAGACCTGATCGATGTCCTTTCTGATGTCTGCCACAATCTGGGCGCTGTCACTCCGAGCTAAAACCGCATCCAGGCAGTGCTGCTGAATGGATTCCAGGAGGCGGGCCGGGTGCCCCAGGCGCAGAATCCGCTGCTTACACCGAGCCAGTCGCTCAACGAGATTGTCTACGGCGATATTAGAGGGAGCGCAGCACAGAACCTGGGGAACACAAGCTCAAGTTAAGGCCTGGTAAATTCTTTTATCATTATACGCTTAAGTTTACAGTGGGCCAAACAGACAGCCTTAAATGTAAGGAGAGATGGGCAGAGCAAACACAACTCACAATGTGCCAGTGTAAAAAGCAGCATTCATTCCAGGGTGAAGACAGCCCAAAGACACAAGTCACTGCAAACCGACACCACATCTGTATAACCAGAACTTCCATCTTCAAAACCTCTCAGTCACTAAAGCACCCACCAAAATAAGGTAAGTGACTTGCAACTGAACAGAAGACCCCAAAAAAAAACAAGTGCACCAAAATAATTAGGAGCTGGGGAGCCCATCATTATCACCAATCAAATCGTATTATCATCCGATAAAAACAAATGAGGGGCATCTCCCTGTGGGGCTCCAGCTCTCTTCCAGAACTGCAGTCCCACCATTAAGAGGATGGAAAGGAAAGCCCTGTGCACCCCGACCTTCTCCTGCATGCTGCCTCCACCTCACTGATGTAGCCAGAGACACCTGGATACGCAAGTTCATTAAAAAGTGCGTCCCATTTCACTCTGGGCACTGAAATATGAGGCACCGATTAAAGCACCAAACTGCTTTCTGCCTGTAAGCCATCTTGTCTTGCAAGTTTTCAAACAGCTGGAGAGACACTCCCTAATAGGAAACCCTTGGACAAAGCTTTTTAACTGAGTGCCAGGTTTCCAGTGGCTCTGCACAATCAGCTCCTGCCTCTGTCACTCACTGCTGAGCAGCTGGGTCCTTGGCCTGTTTCTTAGTTTCCTTGGCTGTGAACCGGGAAGGCTTCCAGTCCCGGCACATGTAGTTTCTGTGAGGAGTAATGAGGGCGCATGTTAACAGCACCAGGAAGGCATAGCCTGTGATCACCACGTGTCACAACTCAGATTCACTTCGTTACCCAACACTCTTATGAACCAGGATGGCTTTTTAGTATACATGCTGCCGGAAGGAGCACCAGGAGGATGGATTTTTACTTTCTACATCCTTAGCTCTGTAATGACTCCTGTGGACACAGATGGGTCTCAACCATTACAAATATAACTAGATAATGTAAAATGTTATGGAAAGAGGACCAAGCGATGGAGAGAGGAAGTGTAAAAAGAATTAACACGTGTCTTTAAATGTAGCATTCCTAAGATGAAGTAATCCTTACATATGGCAAACGTACAAATAAAAATAAAAATCAGAAGTTAAAAAAATGTGAAACATTATTATCCACATTTCACAAGGACAGCAATCTGTACCACATATGTGTATCAATTAACGAGACTACCTGATGAACTGCAATCCCACCGTGTCCCTCACACAGACACAGGGCTCTCAAAGAGCACAGATGAGCATGGGCCTGAACACAGAGCAGGAGGCCCTGGTCCACAGCAAAGACTTCCAAAACTTCTCTCTCTGACACACTCAGACAGGGGCCACCAGAGTTCTTGTGTCTTGTGAGACTCCTGGAAATCCAAAAGCATCTGGCCCCACACTCTCCAAACTCCATGGAAGGTTCCTGACCAAAGCTGCCACGACTGCAGCTGGGATGCTGCGAAGTGCCCACTAGATAAAGAGAGGCAGGAGCCAGCAGGCACCCGTGAAGCATCCGCTGCCCACCTTTAATCCTTGCTGCACAGCTTGAAGAATGACTTCCACCACAGTCGTGGTTTTCCCAGTGCCAGGAGGTCCATGGATGATGGCGAGTTCTTTCTGGGACAGGGCAAATGAAACTGCTTCTTTCTGAGAAGGGTCCAGGGCGGTGTTGTAGAATGTCAGTGGGGCTGCAGAAGAAGCACCAGCATTAAACCCTTGCATTCTGTCACCTGCCTTCCTCCCCACAGGGCAGGCACAGACAGGAATAAGTGGTGCACACAGGAGCAGGCGGGGCCTCCCTGGGACAGAATAAGCCTGCTGTCTTCAAAAGAAGACTTCTCCTAGACTAGGAATCAACAAAACACAACATATCCGCCCTGCTGCTGATTTTCCTAGGTTTCACCAGAAACACAGCCATGCCCATGTTGGTTCCACACTGTCTGTGGCTGCTATGGACAAGAAGAGCTGCTAGCAGACTGTACATCCCCAAAGACTAAATATTTACCACCTGTCCCTTCATGGGAAAAGTTTGCCAACTCATCCTCTAGACGGAACCATTTCATCCCTTTTAAGGGCGCATCAAATGACAAACCACACACACACACACCCACAGAAATTCCAGGGCATTTCTATTTGGATCATGAATTATGTAAATAACAAATGCTATACTCATTATGCTCTGTGCTCTTGAGAGCAGGTATCGGAGTCAGCTCTGTCCCCAGCTTCCACTACTTGGTACCTGCTACACAAGAGATACCCACAGATGAACGCTGAACCCACACTGAACTCGGAAGCAAAAGGTGCTAATCTGGAAATGGGAGACCAAAACCAACAGGCAAAACAGTCTCAAGAGCAGCACAGGGAGAACAAATGGCCAGAAGTTCCCGTCCATGTTCCGCTATTCCACACCACATGCTTTTCCCTGGACGACAGCCATACTCGACACATGCCACCATCATTAAACACAGTAAACAGATTTCTAATTCAGTTTCCAGCTCACAGTAGCCCTGAAACAAATATTTGGCAAAAATATTACTAAAATGCGAGTGTTTTCACCATTTCCACAGGAAAACAGAAAATGAATATTTACAAAACAATTCACCGGGAGGAACCTGCAAACTGCAAAGCGCTACAAAACAGCCATGTTTAACACTGGTGTGACACTCAAGTGTGACAGCACTGATATCATAAAAACTGGGACTGGGGGTACAGCTCAATGTTAGAGCACTTGCTTAACGTGTGTGAGGCTTTGAATTTGACCCTCAGCACTTCCTGAAAAGGGATGTAGGCAACCCTTGCATTAGTCCTGACCAAAGCCACTGCTTTAAAAAGTGACAAATGTCCAATAGCTGAAGGGCTGTTAAATTAGGGTAGCCACCTGATGTGATACAACAGTCCTCTTACTTTTGGTACCGGGGATCAAACTTGGGACCTTGTGCTTATGAGGCAGGCAGCAGAACCACTGGACTAAATCCCAGGCCTGATATAGTCCACTTTTTTTTTTTTTTTGGTACCAGGGATTGAACTTGGGACCTTGCACTTCTGCGAGGCAGGCAGTGGAACCAATGAGCTAAATTCCCGACCTCTGGGGGTTTTAAATTTTTATTTCATGTTTTGGCAGTGCCAGGAATGGAAGCCAGGCACATGCGAGGCAAGTGCTCTACCACTGAGCCACACATCTAGCTCCATGGCAAGGTTTTGAGTGATTCATTCTCCCTGTTCTTTTTTTTTTTTTTTTTTTT